GCGTCGCTGCTTCTGCTGCGCTCGTCGGCGTTCGCGTCTGGGCGAACGCTGAGGCCGCGGTGGCGGCGGGGCGAAGGCACGCGCTCCCGCGAGGGAGAGCGCGACGCCTCCGACTGCGTGTCGGCCGCTATCCTTTCTTATATGCGGGCGCGTCGCTGGCGGTCCCGCTGTTTTCTCCTGCCGCTGCTGCTGAGCTCTGCTGTTTCCCCTATTATTCATATAAATGAAGAGCATTGAAGCAGATTCTCTAACATCAAAAACAAGCATTAAATTAATGTGAACACAAATGTGAGGCGGTTTGATTCCATGATAAAATGCTAATTTCATTAGTCCCGCAACTGTAGTACTGTTTCCTCCTTGGGAGGCGGCAGTGATCTTTTCCGCTGGGTGGTGAGATCTGGCGCCGACTTTTCGTCGGCTAGCGAGGCTTTCCCTAAGGCATTCGCCTGGGGTTGATCGGAGAAATCAAGGAAAACTACCGATAAGAGCAGCCGGCTGCTAGAATTTGAGTTCTCCCCCAGACTGACTGAATTCGACCTAGCTAGCTTGTGTAATTCTTCCCACCGTTGGGACTCGATACTATGTGCTCGAGATCAGAGGCATTTCATCGTGCGAGTTTGATTCATTTACGTCAAAATAAAAACTTACGTTAAAAACTGTCTCATGCTATGGGGAGAAGTTAATTTGAAGTTACATTTATGTTCAGAAGCAACACAAAGGAACATCTCAGCATTTATTCGAGGATCAGGGAAACTGGACGAAAACCTGATCGACACCGAGCTGAGATTTCACTTTGCCATTAAAATTAGATAATACTTGCGATAAAATAATTTCGTAAATACGGGAAAAATCGAAATCTTAAATTTCAAGCAGAGCACATAAAATAACAATTCGATCGCCTCGTATATGAATATATGCACATCAAATTTAATGCGTGTCCAAGATTCTCGCTTGCTAACCAATGGGCCTAGCGGACTGGATTTAAATAGTACTAGGGGGATCCCGATAACAAAATTTGATGGGACCTCTTTCAAAAAATATCTCCAGAACTATTAAAAAACAAATTTAATTTTATACATAAACTTTTAATTATTGAGACTATTTGATTAACATTTTACAAATTCAAACTTATTTCGAATTTTTTTCGAATATTTTATTTTTTCCGGGGCGCCCCCCCCCCTCCTTTGATGGATGCACTTAAACTGCTGTTTTTGCTTGTAGGAAAATCCGGCCATGGGTACAAAGGGAATAGTAAATATCATTGTGTGGACTTTCTTTTAGAAACATTGACAAAACTTACATTTTCTTAAAAGGAAGCTCTATAGATGCTTAGATGTCGAGAGAAATAATGTTTTGATGCACACAATGGTAATATTTCAATTGCAGCAATAATAAGAAAGAAACAAAATTAATATTCGAGGTATCCTTTGTTTCTGAATGGGATACCTTCAGAATCTTTGAATAAGAACCCCATCTTTATAGGGGTTGCCACGAGCCCTCACTTGGAGCCCCCTGACTTGAGGGGTGGATGGTTATGCACCAGTCCCTGATTGATCTTAATAATCATTCATGTTACCATACTTCATTCTATGAAGGAAGTTTGAAACAATCTTCTCACAACTGCAATTAAATCTTTGAATTGGCAATTATTGGTATTAATTTTAGACATCAACTCAGGCTGTTTGTCACAATAAAAGTTTGAAAGTAGTGGATAGTCAATTCCAAATTTTGCCTTTATATTTTCATTTTCCTAACACAAATTTGCTTATACTGTAGACCTTTATAAAAATTTGATGTAGAATCCTTCTGATTAAGGTAATTTCCTTTCATTTTTCTTATCTGAACAGAGTGGTGGCCTCTTCCAGAAACGCTCCACTTTCCCCAGTTCCTGAAGATCTTCCTTTAGGCGACCACACAGACACAGGAGAAGGCACTAGAAAGAGAAGTGGCTGGAAACAATATTTAAAAATTACGCTCCTGGCAATTGTCTGGGCAATTTTTACTGTAAGTTTGCCTATTAAATATCATTTAATTGTAGGTGTTGTAACATTCTCTGGCAAGTAATATTTAATAAGATTTACATGAAAGTTTTAATTTCAATAAAATACAATCATTCCAAAATAGTTACACTATGATTAAATTAATTCTACAAACTGTCATACGAGATAAATTTAAAATCTAAAATGTGTATAATTTTCTGCATTTAATTTTTGAAAAAAGAGAAAGCATTCACCAAAGATTCAGATGTAGGATGGATTAAGGTTTATATAGTATGGATAATAAAAGAAGAATGTATATTACAATGTATAAGGGCTTGTTGCTAGATAGTTCTGCCACATTGAATTCACACTGAAATATATGAAGCAAGTTTGTTAAACCCTCTTGCGACAAAGTAAATAATACAGTTTTTACAGTTTAGTCCTTTGTTATGAGTATTACAGTATTTACATAAAATGTAATAATCAGTAATGTATATATGATAGTAAGAATATCTTCATTTGGACTAAAATGTTGGACAGAACTATCTAGAGCCACATCCTTTATGGTATATTTGTGACCAAAATCATGTTCCACTTGTGAAAATTTTAAGAGAAACAAAAATATACTCGCTTCCATAGACAGTTTGATATGAATGGTTTATTTTCTTGACACATTTAAGGTAAAATTAATCTGAATTTAATTAAATAATCTCAAAATTATGAAGAACTCTCTGAACTTAACAAAAAATTGAAAGAAAATTTTGAGAGGCATAGGAATAAGTTGGTTCTGGTTGCATACCCCTGATATATTGTTTCCTCATGGATTGGGTTCAAAATTGCACTCAATTCAAATCAGTTGTAATAATTTTGTAACTCGCATAAATTACAAGCATACTTGTATTTCAGGTCACTCTTATGATAACCAGTGAAAAAGAAATCACAGTGCATCAAATCTCTATTCCAGAAAATGCAACAAGGAGTATCCTTTACAGTTAGTTAATCAATAAAATATATAGTGAATATTATGACACTGAGACAATAAGGCAAAGCTTCTTAATAATATTCTGGAAATCAGAATTTGTGAGCTTGCCATATTGCCAATTGAAATTCAGCAAAATAAAACTCTTCAAATGCATATGGCACGCCTATTTGATAAAAGTAATTCTCATTTAGATTTCCAGTTACTAAATTTTTTTCAAATATTAATTTTTTGTACAATATTCCACTGCACAAATTCAATTTTGCTAAGGAGTAATATTCTCTTGAGTCATTATTTCCTGATAAAATATTAGATGAAGCATTAATTTTTTGGGGTTCCCAATATTGATAAACATGAATTAGTATTGATATTTCAAATGTTTATGAAGATTTCAATAACAAAAGCTTTGTGTTGGGCTGAAAGAAGAACAGAGAACCCAAAGCCTGGGAATGGAGAAATCATTCACTAAATGCTTAAAATCAGTAAAATATTATGCAAAAGACTTTTCAGATTTAAAAATGTCAACTGCAGTTGAGAAAAAGTGATTCCTATTTCACTAACGCCAAAAAGTCCATTCAATAAAAAGTATCCCCAGAAAACAAAGCAGTAATAAAACAGAAAATAAGAATAAGTTTGTTCTTGAGCCAATGCATTGAGATAAAAGGAAATTGGTAGTTGTCTGGAGTTCACACAATTTTGGTTTCTTAATAATTTTTGAAACTTGCAGTCTGTATGATGTAATTTTTATATTTGAGAATCATTCTTCGGTAGGTTGCTAGATCTGATCATGTTTCCCTGTAGACCAGGAAGCTTACGCCTCCAGGTGTTCTGATCTAGCAAATATCTTTTGTGGCCTTCCCATATCGCTTTGCCCTATTGGTTTCTACTTCAACACTGGTTTGGGGAATATTTGTGTTAATGAGAGCCATTTTATCAGTCCATCCTTTATTTCTTCTAGATTTTTAGCCTTTAACCTGTTTCTGATGACTTTGCTTATCCTTTAGTGTCAATCCAGCAAGATGACATAGAAATCTCATTTGCAATGGCTCTAGTTTTCATTGCTCACTTCTTTTCATTGTCAAGACTTCCAACCCATACATAAGGATTGGTTTAGATATATTGTGGATTCTTAGATTAGTCTCTTTAGTCATCTCTTTCAAAGTCTCTGTTGATTAATCCATTCATCATGTTGTATTTGTAAAGTTTGTTTTCCATGACGTCCGATCTGTCAAATGAGGTTGCCCAAAATTATGAATTTAACTACTTGTCTATTACTCTCCCAATTATGGCAATTTTTACTTTTTCCCCCATAATGTCTTTGCTTTGTTTGCTTTGCGAAAATTTCCATATTAGGTTTCTGTGCTATTTTATACATTTCATGTCCTGCAATTTGCAAGTCATCTTTTGATTCCATTGTTAGACTATATCATCTGCATAGAGGATTGTTTGGATCTTCTTTCACAGATTTTTTTAAAAATTAAATGAATTGGAATTGATGGATGGATGAATGGAATTGATGGATGGATGAATGACATTGATGATGGGGAGATTTGAGATGGAATTGATGATGGATAATGAATTCGATGATGATGAATGAAATTCGAGGATGATGGTATGATGGAATTGATGGAATGGGGATGATGGATGGCAATTGATGGATGTATGGATGGATGGGAATTGATGAATCGCATGGCAGATGAATTGATGGTATGGAGGCATGGATGAATGATGAATTGACTGGATGGATGGATGATGGATAATTGATGATGGGATGGATGGATGATAGATGGAATATTGGGATGCATGATGGAGGTAATGATGATCAGTATGGATTAGGGGAATTATGGATTGGATGATGGACTGTGAATTGTATGATGGATGGATGGATGGAATTGATGGATGATTATGGATGAATTGAGATGAGGGATGGGGAGAATTATGAGATGATGATTGCATGCGAATTGATTGGATGATGGATATGGAGGGAATTTGATATGATGGATGGATGATCGGAATATGGTATGGATGGTACTGGTATATGGATTGCATGAACCTATGGTATGGAATGGAATGTATTCTCGATGAATTTGTATAATGGCATGGCATCGGATGAATTTCATGATGGATGATGGTATGAATTGATGCATGATGCGTATGGAATTGATGGATGGGATGGATGAATTGAGTCAGGACTGATGAATATGATGATGAATGGCATGGAGATTCATGGTACAATATGGATGAATTATCGAATGGATAGGGCATGAATTCGATGCTATGTGACTGGATCGAATTGATGGATGGATGGATGGAATATTGCATGGACTCGACTGGATGGAATTGAGGAGGTATTGGTAACTGGACATGTATCGCATGGGCAGGAGGTGAATTTGATGGCATGTATGGACTCAATTGATGATTGGATGGATGGAATGATTGGTCATAGGCATGGGATGAATTGATAGGATGGTATGATGAATGAGGGATGAGATGGGAATTGATGATGTATGATGGAATTAATGGTGATGGCTATGGATGCGAATGAATTGAATGGATGGAGAACTATGATGGATGGATATTGGGATGGATGGAATTATTGAGATGATGCATGGATTGATGATGGATGGAAGATGGAGATAATTGATGAGGGATGGAATTAATATGATGGATGGATGGAATTACGATGGATGGATGGAATTGAGATGATGGATGCGAATATATGGACTGGATGAATTTGATAGGATATATGATGTGGAATGTGATGGAATTATTGTGCGATGGAATTGGGGATGGAATTATGGATGGATGATGGAATTGATTGATGCGATGAATTATGAATGGAATGCATGGCTGGATGTATGGGAATTATATGATGTGCATGGATGAAAATGAGGATGGATAGATGAGTATGTGGATATTGATGGTATGAGGATGATGGAATGGATGGATGGATATGATGATGCAAATGGCTGATGGGATGGAATTGATGATGGATGGCAATGGATGATGGATGGAATATTGGATGGCGATGGATGCATGGAGGATGGAATTATGGATGGATGGATGGCATGTATGAATGAGATGATGGAAGATTGATGGACTATGGATGGAAGTGATTATGAGCAATGGATGGTAACTTATGGATGGCAATGGATGATGTGGAGATGAGATGTGCTCGCTTATGATGTGATGAATTATGCATGGAATGGATGGCATTAATGAGGAGGATTGTATGGGAAATGAATGTGATGACTATATTATTCCTGAATGGAATCTATGTGAGAGCTGTACAGGGATGGGAATGGATGGATGAGATGTTAATTTACAAATGCGTATTTGTATTGTCAGTATATATGGATGGATGTGATGGATGATGGATATGGATGATTGCCATGATGGAATTACTTATTGGATATATGGTACTGATGACATTATTCGATGATGAATGATGGATCCGTATTTCGGATGGAATTATTGATGGAGGATGGAGATGTATGGACATTTATATGGGGATGGATGAATGGGATCGTACTGAATGATGATGGATGCATGTGATGGATCGGATGGAATTATTGGATGGCATATGAAGTATGGATGGAATATTCTATTGACGGAACCTTGAGATGGATGATGCAATTATTGATAGTCGAGAGGATGACATATTGTATGCTACTGGATGGAATTATTGAGCATGGATTGCCAATTCATTAGAATTGTATGTAATGATTGAGATGTGATCGATTATTGATGATGGATGAATTATTGATGGCATGGATGACATTATTGATGTGATGTGATGGAATATTGTATGATGTGATGAATTATTGATGGATCTGAATTTATTATGATGGATGTAATTTGATGATGCATTATTGATGATGATGGAATTATTGATGAGATGGAATATTGATGGGATGAGGGGAATATTGATGGATGATAGTCTATCGATGATGATTATGGATGGAATATTGATGGATTATGCATCTGATGCATGCTCCGCATCGCCTAACTATGACATTTCACTCTGTACTGTTTCTCGCCTATATTGAATGGGATCGATGGATGATGGATGGAATAATATTGCATGTTATCCGTTCTCATGGATTGATATCGATGATGCATGGATATTATTGATGGATGTATGCATGTATGTATGGGATGAATTTATTATGTCATGGCAATGATGGATGATTGATGAATATTGATGGATGGTGCGATGATGATGTATGGCATGGATGGAATGGAGATTATGAATGGATGGCCAGCATGGCTATGGATGGATGGATTATTCATGGATGGAGGATGATGGATGATGTATGATGGAATTATTTGTATGAATGTCAAGTGGATGATGTGGAATGATGAATTAATTGATGTATGTATGGATGGATGATGGAGATGATGGAACTTATTATATGGATGGATGATGTGTGATTGGACTCATATTTGGTATGGAGGTAAGGTATGGGAGGATGAGATATTTAATGGATGTATGGCGATGATGATGAATCGCGACATGTAATGATGATTATTTGATGCGATTTGGATATATTTCAACCTGTTGGATAATAAAAAAAACATAGTATCTACACAATCCTGATAATAAATTTAACTGTAAGTTAGATATTGTTAGTTTGTATGTATATTTGTTCTGTCAAATATTTCTAAGATATATTTGGAATCGGAGACAAAATTGAGTGAAAATGAAATTTGTGTGCTGGCCCTTAATATTCATGTAGCATATTGGATATTGGATCAACCTCTGAGTGATCAATTAAGTATCACCATTCAAGGTGCTCTTCTTCCTGCTTATTACAGCAACATGTCTTCAAAATCCCTCAGTGTTTGGGTTCAAGTATTAGAAAAAATAGAGAACGAGAAATTTGTGCTTTCAAATTCATCCGTTTATGACCAATCTATTTACTTCACAGAAGTAGGTTATCTTAAAATTATTTTATTTATTTATTTATGAATGCAGTGAATGATAATTATTTGGTTTTGCAGAATGTGAGTGATGCTTGGATTATTCCACTAGTTTCAAGCAAAGATTTGATTGACTTTGTGCCTGAAGTAACAACCACAAAGAGATTCCTTTTTAAAGGAATAAATTTTACGTAAGTTTTTCTTAATCTTGTTGGAAACATTGCCTTGTAAAATTCTGCTGTTTTACTTGGCACTCTCAATAAAATTAAAAAGATAATGTAGACATTATTAGAAGAAAAGTACTTTGTATGAATTGAATATCATGTAATGCAGAAGTGTTTAAGTAATACCATTAGTTATGCTTTGTGCTAATTCTAAAAGACTTAATATTCCCATAACAAGAATTTTACTTCAATTTCTGGATCAATGACCTGGCTTCATTAGATTTTTTGTCCAGTTTCCCTTGAACCGTTGAACAAACATGAAGCTCTTTCTGATGGGAACGGAAGGAGAAGAGGTGGAGTTAGAGGTCTTGTCAGATGCTAAGAAATCTAATATGTAGTTCACTTGCTGATACAAACACATCATTATAATCTCTTGTTTCTGAGTAATTAGTTTCCAAATGCTGCCCATCATGTTTCTCAGTACCTTTATTCATAATTCAACTTTATATTATAATAATGGGCTGGAGACTTGGTAGCTCAAGATCCATAGATTTATTATACTCTCTTAAGTCTCAATTTCCCCCCCCCCCTTGATAAAACATTTATTGTTAAGGTGTATTGTAAATTATGAACATTTCTTTGGAACCTTTTGCAGATGTAAAGATCCAGAGGTCTTGGTAGCTCGAATTCAAATGAGTACTAATATGGAAGCAAGTTTTCCTGTAGCCCTTTCTTATGATCTTACACCTATTGACACGTACAAAGGACAGATTTATGGAGGTGTAGTTTTGTTTGGGTTATATGGATTGATAATAACTGAAGTAAGTAACAATTTTTTACCACTTTTCTTTGCAGTATTATAGGTATTTTGCTATTACACATTGTAAATTATCAGAATTAGTGCATTACATTGATGGAACACACTTGTAATTGAATAAATTGTCATAATCACCTAAACCAAATTCCCAATTTTTTGTAGACTGTGCACAGAGCATTAGCAGCAATTGTTGCATCTACCATGTCAGTAGCTATTTTAGCAGCAATGAATGAAGTAAGTATCTGAAAGTAAAAATTAAAATTTAAAAATTTTAATTAAGAATAGAAAAAATATCAGTGGTATCTCCTCACCCCTGAGATGGAGTTAAATGGTCTGGCATGTAGTTTTGTTGAGTCTCCTTAGACTAGTGAAACTTCAAGTTTGAAACGTAAATATGGTTAAAATTTAATAAATGTTTCTTTTAAAAGAATAAAAATTAAAACCAGGGGGCAACTTAAAAAATATATATATTTTCTGCAGTAAATGTAAATTTTTATTTCAATTGCTGTCGTGTACAACAGGTTTCTACAAAATTCAAAATTTCTGGAGGATAAGGATCAACAAATATTAAAATATGAAGGAAAAGTGAGGGATGGGACTTTAAAATGGAATATTCATCTCACAAGATTCAACCTTTGGTTGGATTTTTTAATCTTCAGACCTTATTAAGGATATTCTAATCACTCTTTGTATTCTTTTAGATTCTAAAACATATAGCAGAGGAGAACATTGACATGCACAGTGGGAGGACAGTCTCCTGAACATTTTCAGAGGCCCCATAGTACTATAATAAAACACTTTATTTTTTACTATTTTCGATCTGATTTCCCCTTTTTAACCCATTAACTGAGGATTTTTTAAAATTTTTCATTTAGATAATTTTAGAAACTGCTCTGGCCATTAGCAACCATTGTTATTTTTCTACGTAAGTAACAGAATTTTTAAAAAATTAGGCATTTTTAAAAGATTAGACAATATATGCCTATGGATGAGAAATAAACTTCAATTACCTGTATTTGTTGTCAATGTGTCAGGGTATTGCAGTTTTCTTCATCCCGTTCATTTAAAATGCCTTTTGTTGCTAGAGACCAACAATGCATGAATTAGTCTCTTGGATTGATATAGAAACTCTCCTCCTGCTATTTTCCATGATGGTTCTTGTGGCAATTCTAGCAGAAACTGGTATTTTTGACTCCTTGGCAGTATATGCATATCAGGTAAATACTTTACTTCCTTAGAATTTTCCCTAGAAATTGTTATTGCAAATGTTCTAATATTTCATCCATTTAGATTACAAATGGGAGAGTATGGCCTTTAGTGAATACATTATGCCTTTTCACTGCTGCTCTTTCTTCATTTTTGGATAATGTAACAACTGTGCTGCTTATGACACCTGTGACAATAAGGTAAATCTGACCAAGAACTAATAATTTTATCTACTTAAATTATGGAAAGTGTTCAAATGCCTAAATGGTTTGGACATTTTATATAAAATTCAAATTTTAATTCATATACAGTGATTTAAGCAGGAAGTATTTGATAATTCTGTTTGAAGAAACATTAAACTAATGTGAACAACTATCTTGAGAAAATAATTTAATATTGCATAATGGTCCAATTCATAGGTCATAATTTTATGATCATTTAATAACTTCACTTAGATAAAACCAACAAACAAACAAACTAGTCTGATGCCATTTAAGACGACATTGAAGTACCTTGAAATTTGTGTTGTACAAAAGTGTTAAAAATGAAAGTTAATATTCAGGAAGAAATCTGTGATTTGTGCTTCAAAAGCCTGCCAGATGGCATGGTGGAAGGCTTACATAACCTCAATGAAAAAAATGTTTTGAACATGCCATGCTATCTGGTTGGTGAACATGTGCGATTTGTAGTACAGATGAATTTCTCCTCTGAAATTATTTAAAGATTAATATTGTTAAAGGGGAAAGACATTTCATCTTGTATTTATAATTAATTTACATTTTACTGTGAACTTCATCCCTCTGTTTTCATATTATTTTGAAAAATTTTTTTCAGACTGTGCGAGGTGACTGAATTGAACCCAATCCCTATACTTATGTCTATGACTATGTTTTCAAACATTGGAGGGGCATTAACACCTGTTGGGGATCCTCCTAATGCAATTATTGCATCACATCCTGACATCATAGCTGCTGTAAGTATTGTTTTGAAGGTGAATGGTGTATTTATAAGTTATCTTGTAAATTAGAGACAATCTCATTTCTGATTTCAGGGAATAGACTTTGGTGTTTTCACCCTTCATATGGGAGTTGGAGTTTTCTTGGCCCTAATATCAATTAATATCTTCTTGAGACTAAAATTCAAAAACATAAGTGATTTAAGATTCACTGAGCCACAAGATATTCAAGGTACACAAATTTATACAAATGCAACAAGTTTGTAATTTTCTCATGTGCATAACCTATTACAACACATGGTCTCTTCTAGAACTAAGACATGAAATTGCAATTTGGAAGAGAGCTGCAGCCTCTTTGTCTACTTATTCAAAAGATGAAGATATTGTTCGCCGAACACTTCTGCTGAGAGTGAGAAGATTAACAACAGATTTGAAACGCAAATTGAATAGTGGAAGGCAAGAACACTGCATCAAAATTTTGTTTGATGTTGGAAATGTAGATATTTGACCAATAACAATTTTTTCTTTTTTCCAGTGTTGCAATAGATACTTACAAAGCTACTCTTGAAGAACTTAAAGCAAAGGTAGAACCATTTATCTTCATTGCGCTGCAGGTGCAAAATAAATTATTTAGGAAAGATTCAGTGGTCTTGGCAGAAATTCTAATTTTTTCTTCTTTGTTTTAGTACCCCATTAGAGACAAAGTTCTTCTAATAAAATCAGGACTGGCATTATTTTTTGTCATCCTCCTTTTCTTTCTGCATTCTGTACCTCAACTAAAACTTTCTCTTGGGTGGACAGCTCTTTTAGGAGCAATTCTGCTGCTGCTCTTAACTGCAGACAATGAAATTATGGAAAGTGTTCTTAACCGAATAGAATGGGGTACTCTACTGTTCTTCGCAGCTCTTTTTGTATTAATGGAGGTAAATCTCTGTTCATATTTTTTTTAAATGAATTTAAACCACAACTTAATCTGATAATTTTGTAATTTTGACTTTTAATATTTCTCTCAAAAAATACAGGCATTATCTCGTTTGGGCTTAATAGATTTGGTGGGATCACTGACCGAGAGATTTGTTTTAAGTTTACCAGTTAATGCAAGACTGAGTGGATCAATAATTTTCATTCTTGTCATATCAGCAATTGCTTCATCATTTGTTGATAATATTCCTCTTACCACCATGATGATACGCATCGTTACATCGTTGGCACAAAATACTGATATTAATCTGCCCTTGCAGCCACTTGTATGGGCTCTTGCTTTTGGGGCTTGTCTTGGAGGTAATGTTTGAATTCTTTTTATTTTATTTTTAAATTTCTGAAGGTAACTTCACAATATGTTGTAATTTTCATCTTTCAAATGTTTTATTAATTACTTCAGTACATTTCTTAACCATGTTAAAATGGCATTTTTTCTGACTTTCCAAAACAATGACTACAATTCAGTAAAAAATTTATAAGGGAAGCAAAACGAGTATTATAATTTCAGATCTCCTTTGTATGTACTAAAAGCTTCTCAGCTCTTTCAGCAAACAAAATAGATTTTCTTAATTAAATTTTGTTGCAGGGAATGGAACTCTCATTGGTTCATCAGCAAACATGGTGTGTGCTGGAGTTGCAGAACAGCATGGTTACAAATTCACTTTCATTCAATATTTTAAGTGAGTAAATATTGCAAAATAATGACCATTAAAAATGTAGTAAAAATGCTTGACCAGATAAGAATTTAACTGATGAGTTTTTCAGATTAGTTCATCTAAATTAGCATCCAAAAATTACTTGAATAACAGAAATCCTAAAACAGAAATACAGATTTTTTCAATTTTTCAATTTTTTCCCATTTTGTAAATATTATGCCAAACATGTTTGGTTCAAAATATATTGCATTTACTTACTACAATTAAAGACTTAATTCACAACAAAATTTCAGAGAACAAATAAAACCTATAATTTCAAAACACACAAATTTTTAATTAATTCCATTTGTTTCAGAAACTTTATTATTAATTACTTTTGTTCTTTTTTAGACTTGGTTTTCCTGTTACAACAATTAGTGTTATAGGAGCTGGCATCTACCTCCTGATTGCACATGTTGTCTTCACATGGCATGATCAGTGATTTATTGTGAATGGTACTGTATATTTCAAAGTATTTTAGCAAGATCTTAGAGGCAGAATCAAGTACATAATAATATTAAAAATATGTTATGTACGGTTTACAAAATTTTAGTATTAAGCTAAGAAATTATAATTTCAAAAATGTATTAATGTAAAAGCATTTTTCATGTACTTATTTTACATTTATTTTACCAAATATATGTCTACATGTAAAGAATATAAAAATAAATTTGCTCAATTCTAAGAAAATTTCTTAATGATGCATCTTTTCAACATCCACTCAAATATTAAAGAGAAAATAACTTCAATTTTATTCTGGGCCAGTTTTCACAATAACATAAAGGCTGCAGAATTATATTTACATTTTCAGTTGTTCTATCAAATTTGCAATGTTAAACTTTTCCCCCCATATTTTTCCAAAGAAATGTTAAATACTATATGATAAAAAAAGTGAGGAGGGGGTGAGAGAAGAAAACAATATTTCTACAAGGAAATGGTCACAATTGAAACAAATATCTAAATGTAAGAGAAACTTGAAAAAAAAGGGCTTTTATAAAGTTTCTGCCTAGATTGGCTAATAAAAGTGAAGTTTGTCCTGAAATTATTTTCTCTCTATAAATTCTGGCAGGTTTACCTCTAGGCTACCTTCTCAGGTTTGGGATACCACTACAGGTACATTTATTGGATATTCCATTCATTAATCCAGGTGCGGATCTATGGGGGGGGGAGAGAATTAGGGAAATCCCCC